TAAGCTAAGTGTTGTTAACAACTATGTAACCTGCATTTGCTTTTAAACTTTCTTCCTATCATTCTGGTTAAATAATAAGTGTTATTTAATAACTATAATTCTATTTAGGCAAGTGCCTTAAAAACTTTTGACAACTTCCCAAGACCAAATTAAAAAAGTATTTTTACTTCTAATTAACTCTGATATTTTCCAGAGGGCCCCTGGAACATGTCAGAGGAATATTTTCTCCTCATCAAGGAAAATATTTGACTAATTTGGCTTATTTACCTGATATATATTTACCTGGAAAGCACTGTTAATGCTAAACTTTATTACTGAATGTTTTATATCACAGAAATATCACTCTGCCCCCTAAGACTCCTGATGCCCAATTAAATTTATCTGTTAGCACTACTATAATTACTGACCGTGTATGTATTGATTGTACTCATGTACCTTCTTACTATAATTCTACGATCAATGTAAAAATGGTCTTCTGGATATAGACTTCCAAATGGTTGGGTATTTTTGTGTAATGACAAAACATATCAAGCCCTTTCTTCACACTATCAAGGTGTTTGTGGGGGTGGGGATGCATTCTTCCTGCTCTAATAGACCATCTGGATATAAGCGAAAGAGACTTCTCCGAGCTCTGCCATCTGATTGCGACGACAACTTGAAACTCTGAGGTCCTGCCGCTGTTGCAGCTGCAGCTGCGTTTCTCCTGCCGGTTCCTGGACTTGTCGCTGGAGCGCAGAAAGCTATCCAAGCTGGCCTGCGCGTACAGTGAGGTGACAGACTTGACTGCTTCTATATTATCTTGAACTCAGCCAAGAACTGGGAGAAGTACGAGCTGCAGTGCCTCAGAATCGCGCTGCTGTAGACTATCCGCTGTTAAAAGAGCATGTAGGACGTGAACAGTTTTGTGTTGTTTCAATTTGTCTGATTTTTCTCAAACTATTCAAAATCAGTTAGATGATATCCATCGTATTGTCAATAAGTTTTCACAAATGCCTGGGTTACCTGATTGATTTTCTTGGTTTCGTTAGATATGGCCAGTAATGGTAGGTCTGCTTTTACTGTGTATCTGTATTCCTGTTCTGTTAATGTGTGTAAGCAATTTAATTAGTAGCTTGTTAAAACCTATACATGTTTACGCTACTTTCCAAGAAATCATGTCAAAGAAATAATTAATCTTCTTATGTTTTCTTCCATCTGCTACTTCTATAGCCTTTTTCCTTCCTTTCAAAATACAGCTTTTTTTATTAGAATTTATGCCTTATACTCAAAATTGCTGTGCATCATAATCCTTTTTACTAGCAAAGATGTTTTAAAGCAAGTGCTGGACTTAGACCATGGGGCATAAATCTGTAAAGAAGTGGAAAACTAACCTTTTCAAAGAATATTGCTTCTCTCTCACCTACCAACTTTGTATCTCCCTGTATGGACCCGGAAGATGGCTGGTTAGTCAGAGACGGGTAAGATTCCTCAAAGAAGGAACAACCTAAGACAGGCACAGTCGCAGGGGGGCCAACAGAGGTGAGGCTTAAAACCTCACCCCCCCAATTTTGAGAGAAATCTTCTGCACCCGTGGATGTTTTGTTACCCTTGCCCAGCTCAGATCAGAACGCAGTCTATAGGCACAGACCTGCTCACCCTCACCTACCTTCTAATTGCACTACATTTATTTTCTATCTTTACTCTACTTTATGTAAGTTCAAAACATGGACTTTTATTTTATACTGTGGAATGTAAAGAACTATACTATGTCAAAAAACCTTCTATTAGAACTGGTGTACTTATTATACTCCTGTATCTATGTACTGCTTAAAAGAAAAGGGGGATATGTGGGATTGATGGGGTTAATACATAATTCAAGTAAGGTAGAAATCAAATGTATAAGCACACACGACTTGATTGTTTTTCCCACACACTCCGTTGATGTGTGATCAAGGACGGAGTGATGAGAACCAAAGCAGTTCTCACGGCTTGGAGCCACCTTCACAGTTTGGTATCCTTGAGAAGCGTTGCGACCTTGGGCTAGACTCGAGGCCGGAGAATGATGTTTGAGTTCATTGTAAGTTCATTTACTCAATAAATATGAGGAGAGCCTTTTCGGCATTGCTCTTGAGCTGTGACACCTTGAGTCCCCTGGCGGGCCTTTCAGGTCTTCAATATCTCATTGCGTCTCCTCCCTTATCTGCGGGTCAGAGGCGGGAAGGGGACTGACAACTACACTCATGGTGGGCAGGTACCGCATAGTAAATGGTAAAGGCCATGGATACATGGAGGATGATGACTGGGGCCATCAACACAGTGTGAGAGAAAGGAAAATGACGTTAATAACACTGTGCAATACATACAATAGTTGAGAGGAGTACAGGGTGCTTTAAGGGCACAGAAAAGGCTACATTTCATAATTTTATCTGGTATTAAAATTGTTCATGGAAAAATTTGTGCACGGTCATATCCCCTTCAACACTATGAATTTCTTGCATATGCTTCATTTTCACATTTTCCACAGCCCCTGGCATAAAATAGGCAGTTTAACATTTGTGAAATAAATGCTCCATCATAAAGGTAGTCCATGTTTATTTCAGGTTCCAGAAGAAAGACACCCACATATGTGGCAAAATGTATCTTTACATGTTACAGTCATTTCAGTGAGCTCGTAATCTCCATTTGGAGTATAGTTTCCAGTCAGGTGCAAGTTTGGAAGAGTTCTAGCCTGTGATTAACGGCTGGATCATTTGAATTTTGATGTGTTCCTTTTTTGGGGATTGAGATGGAGTCTTACGTGTGTTTTATTAAATTGTGGTAAAATATACATAACATGAAATTTACCATCTTAGCTCATTTTAAGTGCACAGTTCAATGGCATTAAGTGAATTCCTCTTTTTGAGCAACCATCCCCGCCATCCATCTCTAGAACTTTTTACCTTTCCAAACTGAAAGTCTGTACCCATTAACCAACAACTCTCCATTCTCCAGGCCCCCTAGTCCCTGGCAACTACCAGTTTACTTTATCTCTATGAATTTCACGACTCTAGGCACCTCATGTAAGAGGAACCATACAGTCTTTCTGAGATTGGCTTAGTTCACTGCTTAGTGTCCATAAGGTTCATCCATGTTGCAGCATATGTCAGAATTTCCTTCCTTTTTAAGGCTGAACGATATTCCATTGTGCATATATATTACATTTTGCTTATCTATTTGTCTGCTGAACAATTGAGTTGCCTACCTTTTGGCTGCTGTGATGTGTTCCTTTTATGCGTAAAGCAACTTTTGCCCAGGTATGGAATTCTGGGGTGGAAAGGCCACAGCGCTCAACTTCAAAGTGAGATGAACAGCCACACAAAAACAATATAGCTAAGACTCCTGCCCTGATTACTTTCACCACAGATCATTTTTCAAACAGGAATCCTGTTAATGATACCAGAGAGAAAATAATAGTGATTTTTCTGAGGACAGCACATTTGGCTGGGAACTTAGGAACAGGAAGAGACATTGAGTCAAGCCTCATTATTAACCCCAGAAAAATAGCCAGAGAGTGGCAGGCACCATGATTTCAAAACTAGTCCTGTGGATGGAAGGTCATGGGTGGATGGACAGGTCATTTCTAAGGTTGATTTCCACCCTTGGTGTTTGTTTATATCTGGTTTCATTGATTCTGTGAGTTCTGTGGCACCATTGCAATATATTTCTTTTCTGCTGAAGTTAAGCAGAGCTACATTTCGTTGTTTGGAGACAAGAACACTGACCAGTAAACTACAGTGACATCTTTTTGCTTGTCACTATTTTAAAACAAAACATTAATTAATTCACTTTTTAAAGCTACCAAACAGGCATGGGTCAAAGAAAAATAAGACTGTTGGAAAGGGTGTGAACAATATGTGCTGATGGGTGTTGAACTAGGAACACTGTTTAAGATTGAAAGTTTGGAGAGAAGGATTCTGGGAAGATGACGGTGGTAACCCAGCTTTTCTTCCCCAATTTTTGTATTGTGATAAAATGCACATAACACAAAATTTACATAATATTACAAAATAATAAAAATCTTAAAGCATTTTTAGGAGTCCGGTTAGGTAGTATTAAGTACACTCACATTACTGTACAACCATCACCACCATCCATCTCCAGAATTCTTTTCATCTTGCAAAACTGAAATTCTATGCCCATTAAACAATAATTCCCAATTCCTCTTTTCCCTTAAATACTGACAACCACAATTATACTCTATCTCTATAATTTTAACTACTCTAGAAACTTCATGTAAGTGGAATCATAAATATAATACCTGTCTTTTTGTGATTGGCTTATTTCACTTAGCATAATGGTGACAGATTTTTAAATCTCTCTGGATCCCCACTTAAATTTCAAACAGAGCAAATGGGGAACAAAACCAAAATCAAAGGACAATGTTTGTAACACAACTAAGTTCTTTGGACTAAACTGTATCCCCCACAGATTCTTATGTTAAACGTAAAACACTAATAGGACTATCGTTGGACTCAGAGCTTTTAGGAGGTAATAAGGTTAATGAAGTCATGAGGGTCAGTCTCTGCTACACTGGGATAGGTCTTCAAAAGGGAGAGATTTCTCTCTTTCTCTGTCCATGAACACATGCCCTGCTGCTCCCCAGTTCAGTAACTGCCTGCTGCCCCTCCATGGCAAGAACGACAACACCTCACCTCTACCTCAGGCTGGAACCAGGCCTGGTACAAATGTGCTCAATGCTCAGTCAACCTCATAGAATGAATGAATGACTCCTTGACCAAAACTGCCGTAAGTATCCCAGCCAGGCAGACAGCAGAGTCAGGCCGTGGTCACAGGGTTACAAGTGTGATAGAAGCCATGGGACACCTGCCCTTGCTGGGAGCATCCTCTCCTGTCACCCTGCCAGGCCCCAGCTGTCCGTCGAGGAAAGTGTGCCAAGTGCGAAGGCCCTTCAGAGAGCAGAAGAAAGCTCAGTATCCAACGTTAACTAGGAAGCTGCCCAACACAGGCGCGGGGAGACTGACCTGAAGGCTGGGCTGCCCGGAGGCCTGCAGGGCGTGCTGTAGGGCTTGGCTGAAGAGATCGTTGGTGATGAGCGTCCCAGACTGGACGCTGGAGGACATTGGTGAGGTCCCTGAGGAATGGCCCTAGAGACAAAGCAGTGGTCAGTGCCGCCCTCAGAGCATCGCAGTCTCCCCACACATCTGCACCCCCATCACATCACCCCATCGTGCCCCTACAGTGACCAACTTCCAACAGGGGCCTGCATGAGACAACCCCACAGAAGAGGGGCCTAAAAGCTCATGACGTGTGCAGGAGAGGTTCAGCTCTTTTCCACTCCAGGGAAATACAATCAAGCCCCTCACCTAGCCTAGGACCCCAGAGCTGGGAGAGGCGGCCCTGGAACCTGGGATGACTGCCAGCAGCAATGCTTCAGCCTGTGAGAAGGACACAGTGTGTGGGGGGAGGTGCTTCACAACTAAGAGGAGAACTCAGTCAGGACTGGCTCAATCCCAACTTCTGCACCCTAAGGCCAGTGAGGGGAAGGACGGGCTGCAGGTACAAACCCACCAGGGCTCCGGGCAGAGGTCAGCTCAAACCAGATCCAGCACCAGGCTCAGCAAAGGGAAACCCTTCTGCTACTGGGGAGCTACTGCCTTGGGGGCCTGGCCTTGAGATTCCTGCCCTCCCTCCATACCTGGGTGCCAGGAGTTGGCTCTCTGGAGTGCTGGCCAGGACCAGGGTGGTGGCCAGCTCACTCTGGGTGACAGGCTGACCATGGGTCTCCGATTCTGCTGGGAAGAATCAGTCCTGACCCTCTCATGGCCCCGACCCTCCAACCACTGTGCCAGCAGCCAATGGGCTGGGCCAAGTCTGGACTGTGTCGGGTGGGTTTTCCAAGCAGGCATCCCTGGCAGACCACCATGCTTCCTCTCATTTTCTCTAGATGCTGTCCCCAACCGGCCCCTGTCATCTCCATATCCTCACCGCTTGTCAAAGACGAGGGCAGCCCAAGGGGAAGGTGGGGTGGAGGCCGGTATGGGCGAAGGGGTGTTGTCCCTGAAGGGAGCAACAAGGAATGGGACCCACATCTGGTCTGGGCAGGAACAGCCTTCCAAACTGACCCACTGACCCAAAAGACCTTGAATGCTAAGTAACCTCAAGGAGCCCTTTGAAAGTGGGCATTGAGGCAGGCTCTAAGCATGGCAGGAATGCAGGCACCCAGCAGGGAATGCCCGAGTCAGGCAGCCAGGGAGGCCAGGGCTTGGGGCAGCAGCCAGGCCAACCTCCAGTTGGGAACCAGCTACATCTGGCAGGAGCCTCCTTCCGTAGCTGCACCCCACCCTGCATCACGGGGCCACACACCTGGCAGAGGAAGAAGGAAGGTCCATGTGGGGCCCAGGAATTAGCCTCCAACCTCTCCACCTTTTGGAATCCACAGCCCACAGCCCACACCGCACAAGCCAAGGTGGAAGGGAAGAGATCTGAACAGTCACTGAGCTGAGCGAGCACGGAGGCCAGAGAGGCTGTACCACTGGCCCAAGGCACACAGCAAGGGAGGCAGAGGTGGGGCCAGGCTGAAGTTCAAGCTCTCTGGTACCCATCACCCCAGTCCAGCCCTCCAGGACCGCATCCTGGACTTCCTAGGCAGCCTCTGGATTGCAAACCTGTATCTCTCCTTCTCTCTACTTCCGTGTGTCACCTCGTGCTCTGCTTCCTTCCTGCCCTGGTCACTAGGTGAAGAGTCACTGACCTGCTGGCTGCAGGGAATCACCCACCCGCCTTCCAGGGCGTCCCAGATCTCCCAGGGGCCTGGAGTGACCAAAGCCTTACACCCAAAGGGGTGACTAATGGTGGAACTGGGCACCGCATCGCAGGTGAAGGGAGACCTTTCCACTGGGGTGGGGGCGAAGAAACAACTTCTTCATGGATTCTGTCCCTGTGGATATGACCAGGGATGGGGCATGTCTGGCCTTATACCGAGAAGCCCAGCTTCCAGGATGGCACTCGCCCATGGTAAAGCTTTGAAAGTGGGTAAGAGGGCTGAAAGCAGATTTAAATAGCCTCAGTGTGGGGACTAAGTGCCAGAGAGGGGAGGTAAGCATTAAGTGCTAAGAAGTGGGTGTGCATTAAGTATGGGGTAAGAGGTCTTGGGAAGGCTTAGGTAAGGACAAGCAGAGCCACATGGTTTGCTGCAGCGAGAGATTCCAGAACTCTCAGACATAGCCATTTGTCCCCTTCAGAGTGCCCAAATACTGTGCTCTCCAGGACAGCCAAGGGACTGAGACAAGGCTAAGGTGCTGGGAAGGCAGAGGAGGCCTGGGCTGGAGCTGGTGTGGCTGAGGGGGATGCAGGTGTCCCCCATGAGCAGAGGTCCAGCTGTCCTGCTCCACTCCCACGAGAAATACCTCTGGCTGGGTAACACAGCTGGCCTCCAGAGTCCCTCCTTCGTGGACAAAAAACTGCCTAAATCCTTCTCGCTTCCCTACCCAGAACTACCACTGGTCCTGTGCCAGATCAGAGCCCCCTGTCTGCACTGTGAGCTCACACGCTGCTGAGTGACCTTGGGCAAGTCACATTTCCTCTGCTGCAGCCGCAGTCCAGGCCACCCGTTTTGTGGCTCCCCCGCCGCCCTCCCCGCTTCTTTGCTAAGAATACCTGCCCCAAATAATGCTCAGGCTCTGGCAATCCCTGCAAACCGCCTGAGGCATTAAAAGGCTCCAGGCAGGGCCAGACCAGACAAGTCCCCCCACCCCATCTCGATCCACCACCCCACAACAGGGGGGCCGCAGCGCAGCGCCGCCAAATTTGGGGAGAGAGCATTTGTGTGCCATGCAGGCGAGGGGAACTCATTCCCTCGCGGCGGAAAGCCTCTGAGCCCACCTAGCCGGCTTTCTGACCCACTATACAGGGGTCTAAACTGAGGCGCCCTGGGGGGAATCCGGTCTCCCAGGTTCACATATCCACCACGGCCTAAAAGCTGCACCCCCGTCCCACACCCGCCGCCTGGAGGGATCAAAACGGTCGCGCCCCGCCCAACCGGCACTGCCCCCCACGCTGGTGCCGATTCCTGGTGACAACCGCCACGTGCGGACAAGGGGGAGCGGCCGGTCCCGGCACTGCAGAGGCAGCGCCCAGGTGCCCCAAGCCTCTGTGCCGGCAACAAGGGGTCCACCCGTTTCCCGGCCCGCGCTCGGGGCCGGGGGCAGGCAGCGGGGTCTTTGTTCCCGCAGTCTAAGCGCAGTGGCGGCGGCAAGGGGTCCGCGCCCCCCTTGCCGGCCCAGCCTGCGCCCCGCGCAACAGCGGAGCCCGCAGCTCGGGAAGGAGACCTGGGCGCGAGTCCCGGCAGGAGGGGGCGTCCTGAACAGAGCCCCGGGCGGCGGAGGACCGAGGGCGCCTCTGGGCCGAGAGAGGGACCCGTTCCCACCCCTGCGGCTCCCGGCCGCGGGCGGACTTGGGGCGACTCAGCCGGGGCTCCAGCCCCCACCGCTCGCTCGCCGCAGCGTTCCTGCCGGCTCGGCGTGCCAGCGGGCACACTCACGCTCACCCGGACCCACACGCGCCCTGCGGAGGCAGCCCGGGACCCAGCGCCGCGCGCACGCACCCCCTCGGGTACCGCACACCCCCGCCCCCGCCCCGCGCCGCGTCCCCTGCCGGGCCACGCTGGCCGCCGCTCCACCCACCTTTCCAGACAGCGGAGATGCGGGGTCCGTTCCTCGGGTGGCCTTGGCTGGCGGCAGCGGTCCAGAGCAGCAGCAGCAGCAGAGGCGCGGACCGAGCCAGCGGGCCGGGGACGCGGGCGCGCCAGGCGGCGAATCGGGGCGGAGACGCTGTCATCCCCCGAACCGCGCAACAGAGGCAGCCGCGGAGCCCGCGCCAGAAGGCGGGGTCAAAGCCTGGCCCCATCCGGCCCGCCCCTCCCGGCGTCTGGGCTGCTGTAGGGGGAGCTCTTCCCGGGGCCGGAGGAACCACCTGCTCGCTGGCGAGTCCGCGGAGGGTAGCAGAGCCTGAAGGGCGGGACAGACTTGGGGTCATGCAGCGTTCCCTCCGTAGGCTCAGAAACACTCACCCCAACCCGTGAAAGGGGCGGCCTAGAAGTCCGGGAGAACCTCTCCGAAGGGGCCGGCAAAATCTAATACAAGGCAAACTTCCCGATGGCCATCCTAGAGGTTTGGATCGGAGGGCTGTGGTTCTCTGGGGTCGTGCTGGCTTAAGTGGCCATAGCTCCTCCCTCTGAGCCCACACGCAGAAGGTAGACGCTGCTCAGTGTAAGGGAGGTGGAGCAGAGGTTTGATGACCCTGGGGAGCACCCAGCCGCCCATCATGGCTCTGCTGTGAGTTTTCCTCTTGGCCTGGCGCTCTCCCCTCCCTTCTCCAGCAACCAGCTTTCTGGGTGGCCTCCTCCCAAGCCATCTGCTGTTTAAGCTCAGAAAACACACTCATTTCCACGTGAATGGAGGGAGATATAATTAAGAATGTTCCTTTTGTTTAGGTAATTCCTTCTAGTTTTAGTTCCTTGAGTGTTTTATCTTGAAAGGGTTATCTATATTGAAGTGCTGATGTGTTTTTTTTCCTTCATTTTGATGTGGTATATTACGCTGATGGATTTTCATGTTAAAACCATCTTTGCCTTCCAGGAATAAATTCCACTTCTTCATGGTGTATACTCTTTTCAATATGATACTGAATTCTGTTTGCCAGTATTTTGTTGAAGATGTTTGCACTTATGTTCATAAGGTATATTGTGTGTACGGTTTTTTTTGTGTGTAATGTCTTTGTCTTACTTTGGTGTCAAAGTAAAGCTGCCCTTGTAGAATGAGTTAGGCCGTATTGCCTTCTCTTCAGTTTTTGAGAAAAGTTTGAGAAGTATTGATATTAATTATTTAAATGTCTGGTAGAATTCACCAGTGAAGCCGTCAGTCAGGTCCAGGACTTTTTTTTGTTGGTATTTTTTTTTTTCAAGCAAAGGTTTTGTTCAAAAGCTTCTCAGCACCATCAAATTATCAGATATTGGTAGATGTTTGATTACTGATTCAGTTTCCTTCCTAGTTTATAGGTCTATTCATTTCTTCATGTTTTAGTCTTGGCAGGCTTTGTATTTCTAGGATTTGTTCATTTCATCTAGGTTATTCCACTTGTTGGCATATGTAGGTAAAATTGTATTTCCAGAATATCTTGCCTGGCTTTGGTGCATCTGCATATCAACAGGTGTTCAGAGTAGGAAAGAAGTATGGCTTTAGTGCATTTGCATCGTTTCTCAGGGTTGGAGAAGTTCATCTCCATACCAACCTGGGCAACTGGAGGGCTTATCAGTACCTGAGAAGTGGGGGGAAGGCCCTCTGCCAGTTTTGCTGCTGCTGGAGCAGGAGAGAGAGAAGGGCCTGACTGCAGCTTGCAAGCAGTAAATGGATTTAAACTTTATTTCTCCCTCTGATTTTGGTTTTTAGAGGTATTTTGCCCCGGGATTTCCTCTTCCTGGACTTACAACAATTTTTTATAGTACATTTTTATAACCCTTTATTTTCCTGTGGAAGTGGTAGTAATGTCCCCACTTTCATTTTTTATTTTAGTAATTTTTTTCTTAGTCCATCTACCTATAGGTTTATCAATTTTGTTGACCTTTACAAAGAAACAAATTTTGGTTTCATTGATTTTTCGGTTGTTTTTCTTTTCTCTATTTCATTTGTCTCTGTTTTAATCTTATTTATCTCCTTTCTTCTGCTAGCTTTGGGTTTAGTCTGTTCTTATCTTTCTAGGTTTTTAGATTGTAAAGTTAAGTTGCTGATTTGAGATCTTTCTTGTTTCTTAATATAAGCATTTATAGTTACAAATTTACTCTCTTAGCACTTTTGCTGTGCCTCCTAAGTTTTTGGTATGTTTTCATTTTCGTTCATCTCTATTTCCTGATTTCCCTTGTGATTTATTTGATCCATTGGTTTTTTTAAAGTGTGAGGGTTAGTTTCTGGAGTTTTGTGTATTTCCAGTTTTATATGATTCCTAAACTTCATCCTGTTGTGGTCAGAAATGATACAGTGATACAGAAGATACAGAGAAGAAAATGTGTATGTTAAACGTATGTCTATTAGATCTAGCTGATTTCATTCTGTTAAGTACTCTATTTCCTAACTTACGTTCTATCCATTAGTGAGAGTGGGGTACTGAAGTCTCCAACTATTATTGTAGAGCTATTTCTCCCTTTGATTTTGTTACTTTTTTTGCTTTATATACATTGATGGTCTGTCATTAGGTGCATAAATGTTTATAATAGTATCTTTTTGCTGTATTTAACATTGTATTACCATATAATATTCTTGTCTCTTGTAAACTTTTTAAAAATTTAATGTATATTTTGTCTGATATTAATAGACACCCCTGTTCTCTTTTGGTTACTATTTGCATTGAATGTATTTTTCCATCCTTTCACTTAAAAAGGTTTGTGTCTTTGAATCTCAAGTCAATCTCTTGTAGACAGCATATAATTGGATCATGTACTTTTTATCCATTCTGCCAATCTCTTTTGATCAGAGTTTAACATATTTAAAGTAATTAGTGATGAGAGGCTTCTGTCATTTTGCTATTTGTTTTCTATATGATGTATAGCTTTTTGTCCCTCATTTACAGTTTATTGTTTCCTTTTGTGTTAATCTTTTTGTGTGTATGTGTAGTGATGTTTAACTTTCTCATTTCTGATTTTTATATTCTGTAGCTATTTTCTTTGTGTCTACCACAGGGATTACATTTAACATCCTAAAGTTATAAAACCCTAATTTGAATATACGCAGCTTAACTTCAATAATATACAAAAACTCAGCTGCTTTACAGCTGTGTATGCACTTTTTTTTCAGTTGTTGGTGTCACAAGATTACATCTTTATACAGTGTGTGCCCCAAAGCATAAACCAAGAATTTTAAATGTACCAGTCTCAGTACACCACAAGCCTTCTACACTGTTGGTGGACTGAAAATTGGTGCAGCTGCTGGGGAAAGCAGTATGGAGGTTCCTCAGAAAACTAAAAAATAGAAATACTATTTGACCCAGTAATTCCACTCCTAGGAATTTACCTGAAGGAAACAAATCCCTGATCCGAAAAGATATATGTACCCCTTTGTTTATTGCTGCACTGTTTGCAATTGCCAAAATATGGAAGCAACCTAAGTGTCTTTTACTAGATGAATGCATAAGGAAGATGTGGTACATATACACAAAGGAATATTATGCAACCATAAAAAGAGAAGAAATCCTGCCATTTGCAACATGGATGGATCTAGAGGTTACTATTATCGGTGAAGTAAGCCAGGTGGAGAAAGACAAATACCATATGATTTCACTTATTTGTGGAATATAAAAACAAAGCAAAACAGAAAGAACAAAACAGCTTTAGACTCACAGACACTGAGTCTGAGAAATGACTAGTGGTTACCAAGGGGAAGGGAAGTGGGCAGGGTGATGGGGAGGAGGACTGTTGAATCACCTGGGATGTATATTTGATTTAGAAATAAGTACTAGTCTCTTAGGTAGAAAACAACAAGCATAGTTACAAACCAGTCATAGTAATTAGCAGCTTTTAGTGTAAAAATTTTTTTAAATTAACTCTTATATCATATAGAAAACAAGACATAGAGTTACAAACCATTGTTACTATAATATTAGCTTCTATAGTTGCCCTTGTGTTCACCTTTATTGAGATCTTCATTTCTTCACATGGCCTCATGTTACTGCCTAGTGTCGCTTCACTCCACCCTGCAGAACTCCCCTGAGCATTTCTTGAGCGGCACGTCTAGTCATGCTGGACTCCTTAGGCTTCTTTATCTATCTGGGAATGTCTTAATTTCCCCTTCACTCTTGAGGGATAGTTTTGTTTCGACTAAATACAGGATTCCTGGTTGACAGGTTTTTTTCCTCCTTTGAGCCCTTTGAAACTATCAGCCCCCTGCCTTCTGGCCTCATAGGGTCTTTTTTCAGGGACAGTTTCTGTTGTTTTCTTCCCCTTCTGAATGGGTTTCTTTGTATATGTCATGATTTTCTTGTTGAAAACTGGACATTTGAATCTAATAATGTAGTATCTTCAAGTCAGGTTCTACCCCTTCTCCTGCATTTACTGTTTTTTGTTATTTTGATTCTTGTAGGTTACTTCTTTGCTAAGGTATAAACTGAAGGTCTTCTCAAATTTTCTCTGAGCCTGCATCTGTCCCTAAGCATGCTTGCTCATTTTCTGATTTTACCTGTATGTGCAGTTGCTTCTGAAAATCCTGGTCTTTAATGTCTGCCTCTCAAAAGGGGGGAAAAAAAAATGAAGGAAGAAGAAAAAGAGTGCTGTCCTTTTAAAACCCTGAAAGTCACTTCAGCCAGATGTGGAGCCAGATGTGTAATAATGGGAGGAAGTGCAACAATGAGGGCTATCTTCTTTGTCTGCACCTGTGCGATCAGAAGCAAAAATCAGGGATCAGTAAGCAGTTCCCCAATATTTAGAGGACAAGATCCTTTCTGCCCACTCTGGTTCCTGCAGGCTATGTGTAAGCTGTTCCTGGAACACATGTGCAATTGCCTGTCAAGGTGCTGGGGGAGGAGAATGGGTAGCTGCTACTGTGCTAAGAGCTGAAATTCACTCATATTAATAGCAATTTACCATCTAAACCTTCCCCTTTAATTTGTAAGCTTTCAACAGACTCCAGAGTTCAGAATAGTCGCATCAGACACATTCTCCCTGTGCGGTTGTCTAGTTCAGGAGACAGGTTCCTGAGGCTTCCTGCTCTGTCATCTTCCCAGAATCCCCCACGTCTCCTTTTAAAAGCTCAGGAAAAGTAATTTCAAACAAAAATTGCAACAGAAAAGAAATCAAATAAAATTTCATACAAGATCATTGTAAGAAAGAAGAGAAAAAGCAGTATAATTACATCCCTATAGACAAAGAAAGCAATCCTAAGAATGAGGAAGAAACATACAAAAGCTACAATCATCTATCTCAAAATGAACTCAAAGTTCCTAAGAAAATGGTATAAAATATGAAAGCACATCAATTAGAATTAAGAAAACTCAGAAATGAGGTGAGAGAACTCAGTTAAGAAAATTACAAATTAAAGAAAAAAAACCAATACAAAATGAAGTCTAAAATAAACCAAAAGGAGCAAAAGAGGGAATAAATACAACAGATAATACTATGTATGGTGAAAAGGAAGGATATCTTAAAAAAGAAAAGAAAAATAAAGTGATAGAAAAAGATTTGAGAAAAAGTGATAAATATTGAAGAAAGACAATGAAGATCCAACATGTGGATAACAAAACTCCCCTTAAGAAGCAAACTAAAACGAGAGAACAG